TGAGTCTATAACTATGTAAGGACATGTAGGTCCTTTTTGCCTACAGGCCGGGAGTATCTATGCCTCGGGTAGTGTACTCCCTCCTATACCTTCTTCAGGACTTCTTTCCAGCAGTAATACCCCCACAGGTCTTGATTCTAGTACGCACTAAGAGGAACCGTTATCCCGTCATTATCTCCGCCTCCAACCAACGAAACGATGGCCATTTGCGGGTGTGTAGCTGCAGGGAAAAGTCACGAAAACCATTGGGTGTGGGGCTCTCCTATGACGAAAAGGCCAGCCAGCCGGGCGCAGCAGACTTGTGCATACATAAGAGTGCCTCTCAACCTTCGTAGCCTCCTCCTTACACCTACCCTGATTCATGTCGCAGGACAAACCGAAGGTCGAGAAAAGATGACAGAAAAATCTTGGTCGAGAGTAACTGTCGTGAAGGAGCCTAGCTTAGCATCCAAAAGTCGTCACGGACGTGGGGTCGTCGAGTAACTCATGTACTTTAGATGCCCTCCTGGCTAGTAGATTCGAAAGTGTAGATTAAAAGGGACGATATTGTAGACGAGTCGAAATCAGCTTTTTTTGAGGGCTGAAGGCTCTTTTACTTTGCTTTCGTGGACTCTTTGTACGCCCGGCGGTGGGTAGCACATGTTGTAATATAACAAGGGCTTCTCTGATTACTGTTGTGGCGTTTGGTACCGCATTATCTTTCCTCGTTCCCAGCATCATTATCGTCGTCTTGGTCGTCTTGTGAGTTATCGGAAGCGTATCTTTGACGGAGGGGGAGAATCCTCATGGAAGTGAGGACTTTGTTACTCAATCTTGGCTCTGCAGACTCTACAGTGAGAGCTGGAGATTCGTAGGGGACACCACTGACAGGTGTTGAGTTTCGTGCCCCTGAGAATAAACAGAAATAATGGGAGAATTATCAGAAGAAGCTTTCTTCCATGCAAGATGATGATTGATCGCCTGCAAAGGCCGCATGCTGTGAAGGTTTGGCCGGAGTTCCGGTCTTCAATTTAGCAACACCTTGGCTATGACCACCGACAATTCAACCTGCAATGAAACACAACAGACGAAATGGCCATATTATTTCTGGCAGATTAGTCCGAACACCCAACCAATATCGGAGACTGAACGGAATTCACGTTTCGAAGAGGAGCTGTGGCGGCCAAAATATGGAGACGCCACAAGGAGATCTTTCAGGACACTTTTAGCCTTTCACCTGCACCCATTGGTCAGCAGTTAGATGTGGGGCTTTTAGCACGTGAGGGTTGCACTCTAAGGTAGAGATGGACGAATAACATCGATTCCACCAACCTATCCAGTATGCCTAACCTGTGTACAAGTGATTTCACCCTGTAGAACCAACAAGATCAATATGCATGAGGCCTCGCTGGGTAACTTTATCATGTTTCCAGTAAAGAAGGCTTTCCTGGATGAGATGAGGCGATGCTGGAATGTAGTGCATGTACTTGGTGATACCGATCTGATCTAGCCCTGAACCACTCGTGCTCAGGTCCCACATGAGTGTGAGGGTTGCAAGTTACCTATCAAGTTAATGCACAAACAAGTAAACAACCCCCCGAAATGGAGCAATTATTTTCTTTATTATAACTAGCTACTTGTTGTGTAGTGGGCCACGCGGTGAGACCGATTCGGGCATGTGGGAAGCACGATCTCGGCCGTATAGACCGGTCCTTGACTCCTAGGAGATATAGAGCATAGCTTAGGACCTAAAAATTATAAAAAATTAAAAAAACCCCTGACATAAATTAACCAAATACCCAGACGGATTAACTTACCCGGCAGATTGTGTTGTTTGGATGAGTATTAAGCGTTATAGCCATGACAAATGATAAGTTTTGTTTAATCAAGGTAAATGACTCTTTTGCCATTAGACACTCACGCTCTATATTTCATTCGCAAATACCACGAGGAATTCTGATTACACAGTAGAGTCGATACTCTTCAGAGCATGACCTCCAAAGGAAGCCTAAATCCTGTGGTTTACCCAGGAGCATCCCCTGCTGTAGAGAAGCTGATCCCCCTCGCACCTTGCTACCATCCTCGAAACATAGCTATCTCGGCCAGGGAGAGGGAATAGATGTGTCCCTAGAGGATGGTGGTATCTTAGCTAAGGGATCATATGGCTGACTAAACGATGAGTAATTCACTAGCAGGACGTATACGCATCAACTGGCAGTCAGCGAGTCGTAGAGGCCATTTTTCGAGTGACGCGGGGTCGTGGATAGAGCAATACTCACTTATACGAGAAAGCGAGATATGATGAGAGTAGAGTAATGAGTGAGAGCTTGGTGCTTTGGGACTTGCACAAAACCCAACATAGATCACAACTGTAGAACATCAATCCACTCCTGATTCATTTACGCCTATGACCTGCTGGTTGGCATGTCTTCTCACCTTGTACAAGTGATTTTACTCTGTAGAGTGGTCCTTCATAGTCATAGACTCAGTAGGGACTTAAATAATTCTATTCTATCCTCTTCTACTCTGTAGGATTGGACGGAAGCCGCCAATGGCCACATCTGTCAGTGCATCGCACCGCATAGGGACTAGTTGAGGCTTGCCCTGTGTGGTGCAGTGGTATGGGTGCAGCAACTGTCATATTCATGGGTCTGGAATTTTTTGGCATCACATTTTAATTGCGTATGCAGCTATCTAGCTATGACACAATATCAAAGAAAATTGGAGAAATTATGACTCAATAGAAAGGAAGAGCACTCATGTCTCGCATTTCATTTGCAAGCACCACTTCGAAGTTATGCCGGCTTTTTCTTCACCCCAAGTCGACCCTCATCCGTGAATACCCAGCCAGGGGAACGTCTCAAAAACCCTGAGTTACCCAGACATGCCTCCGTCATCCATCAACTTTTCTCCGCGCGAAATATAATCTGAGATGTCTCCCTCCCAAGTGGAGTAGGTGCCCAGGCTACTCAGACTATACCAGAGAACACCACCAGGAGGCGGACCACAACACCTTCCATCGTTTTTGCTTGTGTTTATAGTGTCAGCTGCACTCTCGCAATTGAAGTATGGGCGTGTGCAAAGATCAATCCGTGAAACTCCTTGCCAAAATTCGGAATCTCACGCCCTTCGAGGTAATATCTATCCTTTGCATCGTCTTGTCAATTTGTCCTAATCCCTCTCACGTCCATCCCAAAGAACTGCTCCCAGATGTTTGCGTCGCTTTTTGGGATCCAAAGGTATTTCTCGCGTCGTGGCACTTCATTGGAGGCTAGAGATTAATTCGATGACAAGTATGCCATTGGAAAGATTAATATACTACTTTGGCTAGAAGGCTAGTTGGGAGCTTGCCGGGAGTGTAGCGTGTAGCGGTAGAGCCGTGTAGTAAACCTACTTGCACGCGTAAAAGTTGTCGGAAAGTCATGCGGAAGATGCTCAGAGGTTTATTGCAGCATATTGGAGATTCATAACGCCTAGGATGAATCCTACCTCGGGTTACGGCCTGTGAATATATGTCGAATAAGTTATTCGTTATGCGCAGAAATATTAGAATAGATTGGAAGACGAGGTAACAGTCAAGATTGCTAAGCATAGGCTGGTTGATGAGAATCACACGAAAGCTTACTCGAATGTATAGTTGCGAGTAGGGCTAAGTTTAGGTATACTCAGCCTCGCAATCTTACAAAGCTATTTTAGGCAGATTACATTTTTAACTCGACTTCATTCAATTAGAATGACCTAGAATTAGTTGGATGGTCAAGTCTTTTATTTTCCTTATGATCATATTCATTTGTATATCTAGATCTGTAGTTCCGGGAAACTAGAATCAAGTTGTTTTTACCTGAGTTATCTTTTTCTTCAATCTCAAATACATATCGTCTGCCACAGCTCAGACACCCAGATACTTGACAATATATGCAAACTTCAACTCTAGCTGTTGGGTTGAAGGAGACGATGAAGAGCAGAGGCTCCTCTAAGTATATGATTGAATGAGGAGTGGTGAGGGGATAAATTGTAGCAAACGCATCCCTGGCTTGCAGGAAGAGAGGACCTGCGTGTCCGATATGGTTGTAGGCTGATATTATTACAACTAATATAGTAGCGGCCAGGGTTTCGAAGAAGAGATTTAGCCCCATGTCCTGTTTGTGCAATCGTACCGAGACAAAACCCTGACAGGGAGATCTTAATAAATTCGGCTCGGGTAGATTTCTTGACTCCCAAATCCTTGGACGACGACGACCCTGACTGATGTCCAAAATTTGCCGGTAACAGTCTTGCCAAGTGTGCGAGACATGATCTTTATTGTCAATGCCACCCAGCAAATTTCGCTCCGAGAAATAGCTCAGGCCTGGCAATACATCTAGTACCCGAGCAACCAGTAACTATCCTCCTTCAACCATGACCTTGAGACTACAAATCTTTCATTGTGAACGTCGCTCTCGGCTGCCTCTAGTAACTAGTCTAGACGTTTAGGACTACTCTGCAACAAGCAAGCAAGCTTTCGATCTTTGAGGCATGGTGGGGAAGACGGTCAGAGGATTGAAGGATTGGACGGAATATAAGCTTTGTCTACAATTTACCAAGCGCGCGCACGCCACAGGATACATGATCAAGCTGGTTTAAATAAGACACGGTAATATTCATGACCGCAGCACACAATCTCACGCCAAGGATCAACATAGTCTTCCAATCCGCAGGCCCACCATCTTTCTAGACAAGATGCATGGCCATTTTGTCCATGCAAAGCTTCAACCAGGCTATTCCAGTGTCTATGTGCACATGACTCTCTACCCGTCAAATAGTGACACTAGACTTTGACGCTCCAGTATGTATGGGGAGAGCATCGCAGTCTTCCTTTGCCTGCCAAATGTTATGCTAAATGTCTTCGGTCCAGCTATACACTTACTCCAGTGACATTCTCGAGTTTGCAGCTGCGCATCTCTCAAACGGAACAAGCCCATCGTTTAACAAACTCTCCCTTCCGAGCTAAAGGAATTTCCCTTCTCCACTGTGCCTTGAAAATGAAGGCCTCAGTCTTGGCTCCCATTGCTGCACTTTCGAGGCTTTTCGATTCAGTCAACGATTGCCGAGAATTTAAATGTCCAACAGGAACTACATTTGACGCGAAACAAATTGTTGAACTACGAGACCACGTCCTCGGTAACAGGGGATCAGATGGTGTCATCAATCTCAATGATTCTGGTCAGCCTTTCTTGTACTACAAATTCAAACGCAAGACTTTTAACCAAAGTCAGTCAACCTCTTTTTTTTTGACAGCAGCTGCTGATATGTCCTCACTTAAAGCTAGGTACAGCTACACGATAAAGGTGTCTATTGCCGAAGAATGGGTAATGGTATACGAGGAAAGAAATGGATTTATTAATTATTGTACTCTTCAGCAAGTGCCAAAACCACCGTCAAATTAGGGAAATGGGACACTTGAAAATCATAAAATTGCTCTAGTCTAGACCGGCACTGTCATGCTTGAAGCAATGAAAATTTCAGTCAGTACCGTCGACACGAAGAGGTTCACGAGATTCAACTGGTGCTTTACCCATGTCACACCAGGGAACATGTTCCGAGTTTCAGTATGTTGAACGGGAGTACAACAATCTAACCATCAAGCCGAATAATCAATAGCTTGTAGACTGGTCATATCAGCAAACAAGAAACTACGGCCCAATCTGTACCCACGGTCTATCTCGTGTGCATTAATACTAGTTCACTCCTCCATTAGCAGGGCACAGAATGTTAGTGGTCAATTACATTATGGTAACAGATTGAGGGTTACATAACTAGATTTATTTGTATTTTTTTGGATAATTGAAGTGTGTGCAGCTATCTAGGAATGACACATGATCCATGCTATGTGTACGTATTTAGTGACTCTCATCGTTCAAGACACTCACATTGCATTTCATGCCCAAGAGTTACTATGAAATATGATAATTTACACAAAATAGTCGACGCTCCATGAGCGCCCGTCGAAGGTAATTTTCAAACCTGTGGTTATACAAGCACACCAGCACCGCGACAAACTTGGTCGCGCTTTTTCTATAATTTAATGTGTATTCAGCTATGACACATGACATATGACCGGTGCTATGTGCACAAATTGGATGACTCTTTTGATGCTAGGCACTCATACTCTGGATTTCATTCGCAAATACCACTATGAGGTATGCTTGCTTACACAAACAGTCGACCCTCCTCCGTAAGTACCCAATGGACGAGCTTTGCTAGGTTAGAAGCAGCCATCTCCCGTCTCAAGTGGCATCTGTGTCCAAGCTATCCAGAGTCAATTTGGGAGAGCGGCCCAGATGATATACCACAGCACCATACAGCCATGGCGGTGTTTTTAGTGTTGCGCGCACTCTCCCATATAGGAGTCGTATAGTGCACAATGCACGATTTGAAATTATCCAATTCCAATTCCAAAATCGAAATCAAAGCCCGACCAAGATTTCAGCCACCTCTAGCATCATGTCACCTTTCTATCATGAAGTCTCTCACTTCCATTCTGAATACCAGCCTTCCATGTTTGCGCGCCACAATTGGTCTTCTCTTTGTGGTAATATCGGCGTGGGCATGTCCATGGAGGATAGAGAGATGTGGTTATGATAGCAAACATTTCATAGGTTGCACTTGCAGACTTGATGGGACTTTGGTGATGATAGATCTTGTTGGGAGAGAGAGATGATTTGCGAGACTGGCATCATTGCCTCGACGGCCAGCTTTTTTGGTATCGCGAAGCTGAACGGGACTTGACACTGGGAACATATATCAACAGTGGGTTTTTTTACTTTTTTTTTTCCCAAAAAAATCATTTCATGTGTACGCAGCTGTAAAGCCATGTAACATGACCAGTACTATGCATACATGATGGATTACCGTGGGTTCGTAGGGGGGATGGCGACGAGTCTTATTCCTCCATGATATTGCATATGGTATGGTCTTGACGAGCGTGTGGTGGCATGGCGTGCGCGCAAAAGTCGCAGTAACGCGATCGACTGGGACCTACTTATCCCGTGGGGGGGGGAGGGGGGAGCGACAAAGTAATGTTGGATCAGGATTGCTTTCCACACAGTGTCCCAACCGCGAGACTCTGGTTAGCAGGAAGCCTAGAAAACTGCCAGCCAGCCTGCACCGTCCATCACCAGCGCGTCGTCTGTTCATTACAGATACAATTTGCCCCATCAATATTCCGCGGCGCCGAGATTGTTTAGATACGCCTTGCTCGGAGTATCCAGGGTGAGACCATGTAATAGTCATGAATAGACTGACAATATTAATTGAAGTTTTAACTGGCAACAGCATGGGTGATGCCCGTAGCCGACCAGAGACGCCTTGGCCTGTAATCCTTCATCCAAAGCAGTGCTGTGTACATCTATTATCGACAATATGCTCAAAAGCTGGCCATCTCGCCGCACATTGAGAAACTTGGGCCCGGCTGGGTCGGAAATTTACACCACGCTATATTCTGTGGGTAAAGGATGGATGTTTTCAAGTCTCGTACACCAGCTTATGTCTACAGCCACGGCAATATTAGACTGGAAAGGTCCATGCCACAGCTCCCCCTAGATCTGCATGCATGTTTGTCAAAGCAGGGGTCACGAAGTCCCAAGTTCAGAGGTTGCTCCGTCAATCGATATTGGACGTAACGGTTAGTGGAGCGAGCAATCTTCATTCTTCGCTGACTAGCACAGACAAGGCCAAATTTCCACCGATACTCGGACAGTCCAATGCATCCCAGGATACACTTTCTCGCCACTTCAAACTGCTATATATGACAAGAATAGACCAGAGATGACCAGGAGTCCCCTAGTACAGAGTGGGATCTATGGCAATGGAAAAAGACCCTTATTGAGGTCACCAGGAACCTCGACGGACGCTATGAGGAGATGTAGGAGGGATTACAGTTCATGGTAATTCCTCGCCGTAGGTGTGGATGTCGGAATACCCGGCGGATGCGCACACATCTCGCCATCAATTCATACCCGGTTCTCAGGGCTTTCAATACTCTTTAGGGGGACTGCTGCTCTAACAAGGTTATACATCTTGAGGAAGGACAGGCTGCTGAGATGGGGAGCGAGAGTGAAAAGAGGTCTCTGAAGACCGTGTTGGGACTGACGTTTTCGAGGAATTTTCAACTTTGGGCTTTTTGTGGGCGCCAAGACTAAGATTTCGGCTAATTAGCCAGGAGGGCTTCTTTTGTCGATGAGTCAACGGCACTCCCCAGCGCCCTGGACGGCACAAAAGAAGTTGGGCTAAGCTGCTATACAGCAATCACGTTCTGCCAAGACTTTTCTGACATTTCAGCACGACCTTCGGGAAGGAGTTGGAAGGAGGCGAGAAGGGTGGAGCGTGAAAATCCCGAGGTACCCACAAGTCTGCAGCGCCCAGCTGGCCGGCCTCTCCGAACGCTTCAGAAGGGTCGGTATGTCTTCGGATCTAGTCCTAATATGAGTGTTAGAAGAGCTCCGCACCCAGTGGTCTATGAGACTTTTCGCAGCTCCCATACACCCGCAAATGGCCATGGTTTTGTTAGCTAGAGAGGGGAGATAATGAAGGGCAAAGGGCCCCTCTAAGTGTATGATCGAATGAGGATTTGTGAGGGGTGGTACTGTTTGAGGGGAGCTGTATGGGAGGCATAGGAGGGTTTATACTACTGGTATAGGTATCCTTGGCCTATTGGCAGAGATGACCTGCATGTCCTACATAGTCATAGACTCAGACAGGACAATAAAATGAATTAATAATAATAACAGGGGGACTGTTCTCAATACCTTAGTGGTGCCTCACAGGAACCCCCAGCGGAAGGTGAGTCTGTATACCTGTACGCGGTGTCCTCTACAAATGCGGGTGTGAAAGATTCTTCCAGAGCCAAGTTCGGTCAAATATCGCAATGCCGAAGAAGTTGGCCCACGAGGCAATGATGCAGGAAACTTAACCACGTCAATTTTTCACTCCCAAAGAGTCCGACTCTTCCCTAAGTCTCATCAAGTCTACAAGTACGACCTAGTACATCCTCATTCCAATGATCACAACTCTTGTCGGCTTTCTCCGGCCTCAGCTGGTCGCCAGGTACATGCCCACGCCAATATTTCTACCGACGGAGGAAACAAAGCGTGGCGCACAAATCTGGGAGACAGTTTTTTGGGATGGGCGTGAGAGAATTTAGGACAAGTTGATAAGATGATGCAGAGGATGGATACATTCTTGACAGGCGTGAAATTTCGAATTTTTGCAAGGAGTATTTACGAACTAAACTTTGTGTGTGCCAAGGCTTTGGTTGCGAGAGTGCAGGCGACACTATAAACACCGTCTTGGCCAATCTACCAAGTAGAGTCTAGATAGCTTGGACACGTATCTCACTGGAGACAGTAGATTGCTGGCTCGAATCTAGCAAAACAAAATCCCATCTCTCACGGCGCAGTTGTGCCAGGATGACGACGGCATGCTTGGATAATCAAAGGTTTTGAAATTCCCTTTGGTGGGTACTTACGGAGGAAGGTCGACAGTTTGTGTAAGCAAGCACACCTCATAGTGGTATTTGCGAATGAAATCCGGAGTATAAGTGTCTCTAACGTCAAAAGAATCATCCAACATGTATACATAGCACCGGTCATGTGTCATAGCTAGATAGCTGAATACACATTAAATGATTTAAAAAAATCATAATTCGACAAATTGATGAAAATTTCCTCAAACAGCCCGTTTTACTCCGTAAATCCACGACTCAATTACCCACACATCAATCTCTCGTGGTACCCAACACCTTCATCGAATCCATCCTCATCTATTTTTTCACTTTATCATTGCATTAAAATCACCCACCAAAAGACCCATCATCCGATGCAATGGCACCCGCTATTGCATCGTCATCATCAACGCCTTCCAATCCCGGAGGGCAACTCTATCCAAGCCTGCTAGGCATTGCGAATGCAATGCAGAAGGCAGAACACGAAAGAAAGGAAGGACTTGGCCTTGCCCAAGATTTTCTAGAACTTATTGACACCTGGGCTAAAACCAAGGCTGACACAAACGCGTCAACAATTCTGGCGTCTTTAGTTGCAAATATCGCGCCCATCGTGACCCATCTTGCAACTGGCTCAGTGGAAAATTATGAGACCACTAGTAAGGTCCCAAACCCCCCATCAATCTCTTCAAAACCAGTGACACACAAGGCAAAAAGTACTCCCGTCGAACACTGTAGTGCTCTACCAGCTAGACCTTCAGAGAACACTTCGCCCTGGGTTACAGTGGCCCGAAAAGCAGCCAGGCTACCTGACCAACCTGCTATCCCATTACCAAGAAGACCTGTCTCACAGACAAACCTCTCAACGACATCGAATCCCAAGGCCGACAAACGCCTTTTCGTACGGTTAGATAGAGACCATGAATGGCGTCGGCTCTCACCGATCAC